ACCCGAAGCGCAAGCAAGGGGAGGAGTTTGAGGACTTCATGACAAAAATGGAAAACATGTTTGCTATCTGGCAAACAAAACAAGAAAATAAATTAGATGCTTTTTTATCAACAATTACAACACAACAGCAAGAAACAATTAAGGCATTGGAATTAGTGTCGGAGAAGTATGATGAAATGAAGGAAACTGTGCGGCAACTGGAGAAGGAAAAGAAAATGTATCAAGACCATGCAAGATCCATGGAGGAAAAGTTTGAACTTCTGGAAAAAAAATCTATATCATCAAATGTCGAAGTTAATCTCCCGATAAATGAGGGTGAAAACTTAGAAACATTGGCTGCTTCAGTTGTCCACATCGGAAATTCAATAAAAGTGCCCATCAACAGGGCCGACATTAGGAATGTGTACAGAATCAACAAAGCAAACGGTACAAAACCAGTTATAGTGGAGTTTTTAAGTGTATTGGTGCAAAATGAATTGGTCAAAGCCACCAAACAGATATATAAACAGAAGAAAGGGCAGGTCCTTAACTCGGCATATTTGGGGTTGAAGGGTCAGGAGACTCAAATTTATATATCAGAAACTCTTACACGTAAAACCCGCAAACTATTCTACCACGCAAAACAATTCGCTGGAGACAATCAATTGCCTAAACCATGGACAGCCCATGGATTTGTTTATCTGCGGAGTGGTAAACATGATAAACCTATACGGATTCTCTGTCCAGCCGACTTGAACAAATGTGTGAAGTGACTATTCGAGAACTGTAAGTTTCGTATAAGCATTTTAACTTTTTTTTATAAATTTCTTAAACGTGTACTACTGTGCAGAGAACATATTGGAGGTGTAATTTTGTCGACTTTTCTTAGTTACAGCTTTCTATGTCTAATTTTTCTTATTTTGTTACTTATACAACTAAAAAACACAACATTCACAACAAAAAACACAACTCACACACTCTCAATTCACAACAAATACATTGTACTCGGTACCATCCAAACGCATAAAAACACTCAAGGTGAACCGATCATCTCATTTAACAGTAAACAAACAAAACCGGAATTCAACGTACTCAACGTATTTAACTCTCGAACAGATGTCATGTCATGCACATATTATGATGCAATTGGTCCAAGTATATACCTTAAGATAATTTTTTGTGACATGGCAACTGAAGTAACCAATGATAGTGTAGGCGGATCGTTATACATAATACATCATTGTCACTTTTACCCATTGTATCATTGGTGTTTCGATTCAAAACAAAACAATAGACGACAACTACTAAAACATTATCAATATATCTCACGTTTTAAATCGTATCGCACTTGTCAACTTATTTTTATTGATAGCTACCTGACTATTAATACTTTTTT